CTTCTTATACCTTTGGTGAACTCTTTTTACTGCATCTCTAATTAGTTCAGTTTCGGGTTCATACAGCGAACAGCTAAGATTTTTACCTACTGATCGCTTGTTTAGCAAGCAACCTGTTCTTTGATGATTCAATAGTTAAATTAACACCAGTGTTTTTGAAATTGCTGTATTAATTTCAAAATACACGTAAGCCATCCGGATTTTTAAGCAGCTGGAGTTAAGATGTTGCTGTTTGTGTCGCGATAGCAAATAAAAATAAAGCAATTATTGTAAATGAGTTGTGATTACGGTTTTAGCTTAGTGCTCAACAAAATCCCTCCCGAATCGTTTCTACCACCCTTCAATAAATCGTACAACGGCGCAATCCATTTTAAACCAATTGGATCACAAGTAGAAATGATTGACATATCAAATGACATCACTTACGTTGAGGAAAAACATTTTCCAATTGTCGTGTAACATTGAACAGGAAACGTACTCGGCAAATTTGTAATCAAAATAATCAACACCTAATCCGTTGCCGAGGGAGTTTATTTAAAAAACGAACGTTTTCGATCTACTTCATAGATCATCTTCAAGTTGAAAAAACGAATATGGAATAACCACAAAAAATAGAACATTAAATTTAAAATTCAAAAATATCGACAACTGAGTAATTAAGTAAAATAATTAAAGTGTAAAAATGCCAATTGTAAAAATAAATAACATACAACAATAAATAAGTAATAGTTAACAAAAATTATAAATGCTCTCATAACGTGAATTGCGAATCAAGTCGTCATTCATAAGCCATTTGTATGTCTTTTAATACCAAACTTCTATGCTGAGGGTAGGCCCTCCGCATCTCTGGCGTTTATACATCTATCATCAAGTTTGCTTCTGTATATTTCCATTTTTTAGGCTGTCTTCGCTAAAGTTGGAGAGTGTATTTGCTTAATGATTTCAGCTTCTTTCCATCCAATTACGGAATCTTGGGCTTGGGCCATATGGGCCAGCACAGTTGCGTTTGATTTTTTCCTAACATCATATTTGTGCTCTCTGACCCTTACCCTCAATTTCCTCGTTGTAACTCCTATGTACTCCTTTTTTAATCCTAATTGTTGGTTCTCGTACGGGATCTTATAAACTCCTGCTTTATCTTCTTTCCTAATATCCCCTTTATCGTTTCTTAGAATTTTAAATGAATTAGGAGCTCGTTTTAAAATCACCGTTGATTCTTTTATGTCCGCAATCTCCTTCATAACGCTTCTTACATTTTTGTTGTAGGTGAAATTTATGTATTTACTAGGGTTTTGTTTAGAGACCTTTGTATCCTTTATCACAAAGTTTCTAACAATGCCTAAGGATTCTGCTATCCGTTTAATCCTGTCGATTTCTTTGTCTCTGTCCATAATTTTGCAGCAGTATAAAGAAAGTATCAACGACAACGAAGATGGCCTAAATCTGAAGCAAGAACAAAAAAGTTGCATAGTTATACATTTCTTAGACATCAATATTGTTATTAAGAATGGGCATATATCCACCAATGTGTACACCAAACCTACACATAGCCCACTATATATCCCCGCACATTCTAATGATCCGTTTCGTTATAAATTGACTGCATTTCGTGCCCTAGTTAGAAGGGCCTTTTTATATTGCAGCAATATTATGAATCGGGTACATTTTTGGGTACATCGGGTACATTGTGCCTTTATAAATTACTGTAATTGTAAATGACATCCATCTCAAAAATAATGATAATTATTATTTCATTTATTTTGTAAAATGCGAAACTAAAGTAAAGTATTTACAAAACTTTATAAGCATTAATTTGCATAATCCCTTGTCTCATCACTCATATTTTTATCTGCGACTTTCGCTTTTATCTGCGTTGTTAGATTCCACTTTCCTTTTACGCGTTTCCACATTTAGTGTATTTTAATAATGTTGTATAAGGAAGACATTATCATTGTTCTGATAACTGTGTTGTTCATTAAATTATTTAACGGAGATTCTCTGAATGACAAAGTAAGTAGTCTGTCCTCGACATAAAATGAGCGTTTATATTATATTAGAAATTACGTAAATACAGCAACTTAAAAAATGAAAGGTTAATGTTTACTTATGTTGACTGTCATGGCCGCGCAGAGTGGACCCACGTTCTAACCTAACTTAACCTATTCTAATAAATTACCAATATTGGTAATTTATTAGAATAGGTTAAGTTAGAATATAGATAAAACTTACGGTTTCGAATTGTAAGAAAATGTTAACGTTAGCGATTGCAGAATCCAATATTAATATTTGATACGGTGTTTCAGAAATCACCTTGTTTATCATAAACTTCATAATAGGTTGGAAAGATTCTGTATGCTAGGATGTTATTGAGTTGGGAGGGCCTTATTTTATTCATCCTTTTAGAGGCTTACTATTGTTGAAAATTTCTGGAATTTGCTGGAAGGTTTGCACTATAGGGGATCGATCCTTTTAAATTTTGGTGGTTAAAGGTCAAGGGAATGGAGAGATAGACGGGAGATCGTATGTCCTACCTATATCGAGGGTTTTTAATATTTTGGCCGGAAAAGTTACGCAACTCATTGCAGTATTTTTCACCAGGTAATGTTCAGCACGTCGGTCAGCTTGTTCGTCATTTCAATGACTGTAATAACAAAGTACGTTCAGGAATTCAATACACTGGAAACACACAGAATAATTCTGTTGATTATCGTAGCTATGATAACTTCGTGGATTTTGGAATTAATTAGATTGCTGAGGTAAAAGTATTTCATCCGTTTATTTTCAAGTATGTAATTTAATTAACTTCATAAAATATTTATTTCGTATTTTAGAAGGAAGATATTCAACGTGGAGGATTGGAATCTGAGCAGACATTTGAACTGCTGTTTGCTGTTCATCGAAAGTATTTTCCTTTCCTCTATCTTACGGTTGGCGGATTCGTACGTAGTGGAATATTTGAAAGGAAAAGATTACGAAACAGAGTCGGACGACACATCTTTGTTAAAATATTGTTCCCGGGATCATGCACAAGATTCATTAATCGACGTTTTATGGTATTCGGAAGATTAATTTGAAATGTTTTAATCTCCGTGTTTATACATCTTTTAATTGGTAAAATTAAAAGTTTATTAGTGAATGACACTACCATACAGACAATACATGAAATTCAACGATCAATTTTTTTTTTATTCTCTGTAAATTTTGATGCAGATAAATTATATTTGTATATGTTGCTATAATTTCTATTTTATTCAATTTTGATATCTAATTTTTAAATTAAATTTTAAATAATATAGGTATAAAATATAGTATAAAATAAATAGCTATAAATATAAAATAAACGAGAAATTTAATGTTTCGTTTTAATTCTTGTTTAACCAAAAACGGCAAAAATGAAGACAAACGAGAAATTATTTGTTTCGTCGTCATAATACAGGAATGCAATTTTTAATCGTAGTTTTAATTATATGCTCTCTGACTGAAATTAGTCGGGTCTTGCCCCTGTTTATCATACTGTTCCTGACGACACAATCATGCCGGTCATCTAACTCCTTTCTATTAACTATATAAGTGCCTCTTTCAGTATCTGATTTGGACTTTCAACTAACTCACTCCGTTCTCGAGATTAAGGAAGGACAGACAGGAAGTGGGAATTCTACAACTTATTTAAATTGCAGCCTAAACACCGAAAACATAATAGTGTAATGCGAAAGAGTACTTAGACACACAACAAATTGAGTTTTCGAAAAGAGCGAATTTTCTCCGAAGCGAATTATTCGAACACGGCTGTTCTGTATTGTATTGTATTTCAACTAGGCATCAGTTTATTCACAAAGCCCAGGGTTAGATCACTGGCAGGACTCGGGTGACCAAAATCTCATTAATCTGACGCTCGGCCGATGAAAGTCTAACGATTTTAAGAACGTTACATTGTCACTGTGAAATAATACATATGAGTATATCCTCTACGAGTAATACATACGAAATACGAGTTATGTATTTGTTCGTGTGATTTGATATTTTCTTAATGATTAGTCTGGCAATATGTTAGAGAAAAATGATAGACAAATAATGTAATAATATAATATTTATTTAGAATTTCGATCATATTTACTAGTACATTTTTATTTAGGTTTGTATTGTAGAAACTGTTTATTTTTCATTGTACAGCTTTGTAATCGGAAATTTAATTCTAGTAAAACAAATAGAAAAGAAATTTATTTATATCATCACGTTTATCTTAAATATAAGGCGAGGTTCCGAAAGTAGTGAATCAATTAAAAGCTCAATTAATTAAACGATTGAAATTATTCTTGCTGAAGTCATTTTAAATTACTTCTCTGCCTTTTAAAAATAGAGATCGACCTCGAAATGATAACTAGGCCTTAGTTCATCTTCTTCTTTAGCAGTTGGACTTTTATGTTCTTTGAGGAAATAACAATTATCGGGTTTAATTCGTAACTGGTTTTCAGGAATTAACTCTTTGCGGTCGATCCTGGCGTTGAGTCGACACACCGAATTTTTTCTCAGGAATATTACAGAACTCAACACCCCTTGCCCTTCTCTGTCGCATTCCACATACTTCGTAAATTCCCTGCTACCGCCGACAACCTTTACGTTTACGTAGGTCTTTATACATTTTTTTTTGGAGTGAATTACGGGAAGACGAATTCTGTAAATAAAACAGTTTTCCTTTACAGAAATCTCGCAATTAAACTTCATTCGCGCATTGACTTCGAAATATTCGCTAAATCTTCTTTGAACTCGATGGTTATAATGAAACAAAGTGTAATAGAACCGATAATCTCTCTCGTATTCGTCTGTGCAAAGGTTGGCTGGAATTTTAGATTTGTCTTTGAATTTACTCGAGTAATAATTTCTGATTGCTTCGATTTCTTCGTCGGTTAAGACATTTCCCTTTGCAACGTCGAAAATGTCACGTTCAAAACATTCTTTTCCCATGGAAAGGAATCGAATTTTAGATAAGAATGGTGCGATAACTCTTCTTAAATTGGTCTGTGGTGTAACTTTGTTCTTAGCCCAGTTGTACACGATGTTGAACAAATCGGATTCTTTTAACTTATCGTATATCGGACGGGAGAGAAGAGTGTTTATTGTGATTTCGCTGCATTGTAAATACTCGGTTCTTCCAAATATTTGACTTCCTTTATGGTCGAACCATTTCCAACACTCGTACATTGTGTTGGAGTACTTCTTTGTCCAGGCGAATTCGTAAATAACAAAAATGTTACTGAAGTTAATGTTTGATAAAATATTTGCATTGCAAATAGATGCGATGTCCGCGGCGCCGTCATGTTTTCCAACTCGATACAGATCCATTGCTTCTTGGATTGTTCTTATGTAAGTATGTTCTGATTTCTTAAACCTATAATTGAATATCAGAAAACATCCCGAATTTATCATATTTTTAGTAATAGAAAGATTAGAAATAAATTACTTTCAGAGACACTTACTGAATAACTCTGTCTCTTGCTGTCTGTCTGTTGTCTGATTGTGACTGTCACTCCAACTCGTTCTGCAACAACTCTTTCTGTGACAGCGTCTGCAACACAAGTGCCTTTCCCTGGCTGGAGCTGTGTCTCCAACTGCGAACTATCTCACTGTCTCTTTCTAACTGCCTTTCTCTAACTGGATTGTAGACCCAAATGTAACTGAACTTTCTCTGCTTGGAGCTCTCTTTTTAAACACTTCCTGCATGAGAAAGTTCATCATCGGGTGATGATTCATTGACAGTGTCATCATTGTAGTTGAGGCAGTGTTTTCTTATTTTTTGATGACATCGAGCTTTCATAGAGTCATCTCTGAGTTGACATGATTCATCATTGTTTGTTGATTGCTTTGACAGTTATTCATTTAATATGTAAACATTGCCGAATACAAGGAGGATGCAATGTTCCCCATTTCTATAGATATCTTTTATAATTTTTGATTATTTGGTTGCTCCTTCCTCTTTTCTTTTGCATGTTGTGAGATTTCTGATAGTTGGATAATAAACCGTTTTATTCTAATTAATTTAAGTTGATATTAAAATTTGGAAAAAGGGTCCCTACATCTAACTCCTTTCTATTAACTATATAAGTGCCTGTTTCAGTATCTGATTTGGACTTTCATCTAACTCACTCCGTTCTCGAGATTAAGGAAGGACAGACAGGAAGTGGTAATCTATATGTGTACAATCTATTTAAATTGCAGTCTAAATACTGAAAACGTAATAGTGTAATGCGAAACAGTACTTGGACACACAACAAATTGAGTTTTCGAAAAGAGCGAATTTTTTCCGAAGCGAATTATTCGAACACGGCTGTTCTGTATTGTATTGTATTTCAACTAGGCATCAGTTTATTCACAAAGCCCAGGGTTAGATAACTGGCAGGACTCTGGTGACCAAAAACTCTTCATTAATCTTATGCTTGACCGATGAAAGTCGTTAAGGTCTTAAGAACGTTACATTGTCACTGTGAAATAATACATATGAGTATATTCTGTACGAGTATTACATACGAAATACGAGTTATGTATTTCGTTCGTGTGATTTGGTATTTTCTTAGTGATTATTCTGGCAATATGATAGAAAAAAATGATAGGCAAATAATGTAATAATATAATATTTATTTAGAATTTCAATGCTATTTACTAGTACATTTTTATTTAGGTTTGTAATGTAGAAACTATTTATTTTTCATTGTACAGCTTAGTAATCGGAAATTTAATTCTAGTAAAACAAATAGAAAAGATATTTATTTATATCATCACGTTTATCTTAAATATAAGGCGAGGTTCCGAAAGTAGTGAATCAATTAAAAGCTCAGTTAATTAAACGATTGAAATTATTCTTGTTGAAGTCATNTATATTTAAATATAAATAGAAAAAAATACATTTTTTTTATTTCTGGGCTGGGCTGGTAATAAATTTTCTACACAAAAATTTTAGGGCCACTCCGCCCCTGCTTCCAAATGTTAACGTGGATGCTGAGCGAAGTGTTAATGAAGTTGAGGGTATATCCTGAATGTTAATAAAGTTACTCTCAGAAATTGTAAATTACTTGCGAGCGTAAAGACGATCGAGAAGACTTTCCTTGTTTCCTCAGCTTTCCTGGCTGTGATGTGTACATAAAAAATAAAAAAGTATTGAAATCGTGTCAAACTTGACCTTCGAGTCTTTTGCAAGTCTCCACGTTTTGAGACGTCCTAAATCAAAAAACGTAAAAAGGAAATACAAAAAATTTCGTTAAAATATGTTAATCTTGAAAATTACTTATTCAAAGATAATTTAGAAAATACATTCCAAACGTCTTTACTAATCTGAAATTTTTGCAACAGTACCAGCATAGGTTATTTTTAAGCATTTTCCGCCCTGTGGGAATTAAGATTTTTTCTGTTAGAAAGCCCATTTTGTAGATCCACAATGGGGCTGTTGATGAGATAAAAGGACGACGTATCACGACGGGTCTTTCCGAATAATTATTGGGGTTTTAGACCGAACAGCATTGGAATTCAGACCTCTTAGACACGGGCGCCCGTACACCAGTGTTGCCGCAATGAAATTTCAAAACGTACTGAAGCGCCTTCAAAAAATGTACTATTTTCTTTCAAAATGTACTAGTTCTATGAATACTTTGTTTACGTGCCTATATATATATAGGCACGTAATTTATATATATATAGCTCATTTAACGATAAAAAAAATATACAGTAGAACCTCCATTATCCGGACCTCCATTATCCGGATTTTCGATTATCCGGATTGTTCAAAATAAACAAAAATTTTACGAATTTGCTGATTTGCACTTGGCGAATTACGACGCTGTTAATGTACGTGATGGAATGCATAACTTTTTTTGTTTCAACAACGTCTCCCCCAGCACAGTAGTCGTAAACTCTTAAATATATTTTTCGTAGTAATAAAAATTATGACATACGTATTTATAAATAATTTATATTCAAATTACATCATTTCTATGACCAAGGGAGGCGTAAGGCATGGACGACGTTGGCCACTGCCTATGCCTCGCGGTCAGAAGGGCCTCGCGCCTCGAAGGTTTATGCATTACTTAAAAGCCGTGAACGCGACGAAAACATTTTACTCGTCACAAAACGATAAATAGTTTGTCAAAATTTTATTCATAAAAATGCAGTTTCAACTGCTTTTTATTTTATAAAATCCGTCTTCTTGCGCCACCAGATGGCCTTTTAAACAATAGGTTGTCTGT